GGAACTTGTAGTGCAATATCCTTGGGCTACTCTCAGCTCCTGTTAAAGCCATCAACTCACTCTCCACTAGATAAGTGTTCACAACATTCACAATATTAGATGAATCGGCTGTAATTTATAACCCAATGGAAGCTCAATAGATTTTATTTTCAGCATGAGAACAGTATCAGGCAGGCCATAATTCTCACTACACAAGAAGCTGACTTATACCAAATCAGACTATTTCTCCACCTAGACTAATATTGTATTCTCTGACTGGCAGCAGCTCTCCAAGTTCTTAGATGAGAGTATTTCCCATCACTTTATCTTTTTATCTGAAGATGCTTCATATTGAACCTGGCAACTGGGAATGCTTAATGCAAAGAATGTGCTGTCCTGCTGAGTTGTGGTCCCCTCCTGCAAAACTATTTTGAGGCAGTGTCCTGACATCCTCCTTTCTCCCTGTCTAGTTATCATGTGGCTACAATTATCTAGTTATCCCTCCTTAATCTTAAAAGCTGTTCAACCCATACAGAAACTCGAAACCATTTCCATCCAGTCTTAGTAGCGTCTATAAACTGCTGTCTTAAAGATCAGCTGGAAGTAACAACAACTGGATCAGGAGTTGTTGTTTTCCTTTCATTTACCAGTTTCTAAATATTCATTATGGAAATTAGAAAACATTTGAATGAAATTAGTGGCTGTCTTTTCCAAGATCATCCCTTTCATTTAAATTATTGTCTTTTAATTCAACAAATTCAGCATATCGACGGTATCCCTGAGAAAAGTAGAAAAAATATATATCAGTGTTGTAGATATAACAGTGATATGCAGCAGTTATGAAAGAGGATTTGTTATGCCAGAACTCTCAAAATATTACACTGATTCGCCTGCTCTTTTGTTCTTGCAGATTTTAATCACTGTACAGTGAGAGGAGTAATAATTGCAATGATAAATTCCCCAAACACCCAATAGTGCTGTCCTGTTCACCCCCCCCCCTGCTCTGGATCATAGCTAATGAACAGAACGTTTGAAAGCTTCAGAAAATGTATCTGAACATTAAAAAAAACCACCATGCACAATTAAAGTGACCGATTTTATGTTTACATATAATCCATCATGTTGTATGAAATGAAAATTCTGGATTATATCCAAATTACTAGGTTGTACTCAAAGTAGACCACTGAAATAAATGGAACCAAGTTAGTCACATCCATTAAAGCCAATGGGTTTACTCTTAGTAGGCCTAATATAAGAAACAACCTTCTGGCTTTTGGTCTTCAAATATTGTTATAGGTGTATTGCTATTAGAAATTACCAATTATGATCAGATTACAAAGAACCATAAAATTAGCTTCTTGGGCCCAAGGGGAATCTATACTTGTTTTTCTTGAAGAGCAGCACCGTCTGCCTCTATTGCCTCCCAGCAATGCTTTTAAACAGCAGTGGAGGCACTAGGAAAAAAGGGGGCAACAGAAAGGGGCAGGTATATTATGTGAAGGTGAATTTTGCGCCACTTTAGGTTTCTCTAAAGTAAATCCAATTGGTTTGACTCACAGGCCAGGTGCGTGGTTCCTGCAACAGAGGAGGGGGTGTAGGCCAAGGTGGAAGCCCCCCAAAAGGGGCTACAAGGTGAGAGCCAAAGACAAGTGTTAGGGAGGAACTGCTACAGAACTCTCCCCAGAAAAGGAGGAGAGAGCGGAACTCTGGTGGCTTGGAAGGAAGCCTTCAGCCCACACAGGATGGCATTTCTCTATCTGTATGAAACAATCCTATGAAAAACGGCTTTCTGTCAAGAAGCAACATGAGTCTGGCAATGGGGTGTGGGGAGCTGTTTGTATGAGGAGCTACCTTCCCCCCGCTAGGCACTGCCTATGTGGAACCAAACTTTCAAAAGCTGCTTGATCAGGGATCAGGGTCAGCTACTGTTGGCCGTGCTGTCTGGGGCTGATGGGAGTTGGCACCCACCTCCATCTGGGCTAACACACAATCTGTCTCTATTCCTGGGTTAACACACTTGCGCGAGTCTAAGCAGTGGTTTATATCTCGGCCTACATGCTCTGACAAAGCTTCAACTAGTCGACAGCAAAATGACACTAGTATAGCCCTTTTATTCTCTGTTGCTGTAATTTTTTTAAAGCAACCGTTCTGTTTAACACACAAACCCAGAGAGAGAAGTCTGCAGATTTTAAGCCCATCATAGGAGAAGGCCTTTCTCTGAATTTAGACCTCCACAGTCGCTCTGCATCTCATGTATATGAAATAAAGTGGAGCAAAATGAAAACATTTTGGGAAGAAAGGCTTGGGGCTGGCTTCTCATGGGAAAGGGAAGAGAAGGAAACCTGAATAACAAAAGCACAAAGGGGGGGTGGGGGGTACGAGAGAGATGTTTGAAATCCGCTAACATCAGTGCTCCCGTTTCTGATTCAAGAGGCCTGCACTCTTTATTAGATGCAGATCAGTTTCCTTTGCAGGTGATGCGGTCCCAGCATTACATCACCAGAAGAGCAGCCAAGGAGCATCTCAGTGCCAGGATGACTAAAGCAGAGAGGAATGTATTATCACAGGCTACTGAGAAACTCGCCAGTTCTTTCTTTGCTGGGGGTGCTGGGATGGAGAGCAGAAAATGTCATTAGAAGAGCGAAAGTTTTCATAGGAGGAAGATCCGGGGGTCCGAGGATCCCCTGCGTATATCTACAATTATAGCCGTGCATTTTCAGAGGGGGTGGAACCAGGAGCATTAACAAAGACCATATTTGTGATGCTAGCACTGAAACAGGATAACGTCTGTGTGTGTGTGTGTGTGTGTGTGTGTGTGTGTGTGTGTACTCTGTATTGGAATAAATTAATCAGCGTTTCTCTATACCTGGGCCCTACTATTTCAACTGGAGAAAAGAACTTTGAGGATACTGAGCTAAGAAAATTCAAACATCCAATCACTATCAGCGGTTTAACCTACAAAGAAGCCTTACGTAAAAGCTAACTGATTACGCTAGGCTAAATAACTCCAGCAGTTCGTATACAGGGAAATATAAGGAAGAGTGTTGCTCCATTGGTTTTGTTTTCCAAGGCCTCCGAAACAGCGGCTCCAAGAACTGCAAGCCAGTGTTTCCACTTTCAGGCCCTTTGGGGACATTCTCTCACAACTGCGAGGCTGGAGAGTGAGCATTGTGTATTTGTTCCTCCCTAGCCATCACATCCACACTGGCCCTGCACATTTAAAGCACATGACTTCCCTTGAAGAATTATGGGAACTGTAGTTTACACAGGAAAACTGATGTCATATATTTCATCAATTGCCTGTATTTTCAGTGATTTGCTTTAACCAATCAGGACAGTCCCTCTGTAAGAGACTATGAAAAAATCAAAATCAAACGTTGAATATGTGAACACAGAGAAACACTTGCTAGCTTAGTTCCACTTGAACTCTGCACGTACTTTGGAATTATGTGTCTGTTTTTGCTTTGTCCCTGACCCATAATCTTGGTGCCACTGCAAAGCAATTAGAGAAAGCCGTGGTAGTCAAGCTAAGTAGACTCCCATCAGGGGAAACTCTAATGGAAACTGATATAAAAGCACTGCTATTTGGAATTGGGAGAGATGAAAGCAATAGAGATGATTCCTAGAAAGGAGAGACAGATCTCAGAGGAGAGAATCACTAGAACATCTTATACAGGCTATAACCAGCCCAAACATGTGGACAGCTGTCTGATTGGTCATCTATGCCTGGGGAAAGTGTGCAGCTGTCCTATTGTCTTCAAAAAAGTAAAATCTTCTGAGCTATGGATGGGGAATAGAAGCTGAACAGGGAAAACATAGGAGAAGGATGTTTTTCTCATGATGTCATGAAGATGCCCCATAAAATGTTCAGTAGTTCATCGAAATACAATTTTCAGCATTCTTTCGGTGAAACCATGACTGACTGTGCTATAAAATTGATATAAGTATTGGGTTATATATTCCCTATGGAGTACCATCACCACTACCAAAACAGCAGATAAACTAGGATAAACCAGTCAGTTTCTTTTACTGGTTATCCTAGAGATTATTCAGATTGCTACTCTTTATATATTGAAATTGACATTGCTTGATGTTTCCAGTGTGCACCCTGAACTATTTTTTTCAATGACTAAACATATGTCCAGATCATGATTTAGCACATACCAATCCAAACTATTTCTCCAAGAGTATCTTTGCATGTTGAAACATTCACACTGAAATCACAGAGCGAATCAGTGAGGCTTGGATTCATTATATAAAAATATGTGTAGGGCCGGTCCTAATATTAGGCAAAGTGAGGCAGCTGCTTCAGGCATCTGATTTTAGGTGTCATGAAAGGGCACCCAGTTGTTAGTTCTTTAATTTATTATTGTATTTTTATTGTCGGGGGGGGGAGAGGCATATGTGGGATTTTCTTTTCTTGGGTGCCAAAATAATTTGGCTGGCTGTGGAAACTATTGAAGAAGTAGGGGGTGCCACTTGCCACTCTGCCTCAGACGTGAAAAAGTGTTGGACTATGTGGTCCACTTTTATTTCATTTGAAACAAAGAAAGAACATTAATATAGACCACCCCAGACCCACAGGAAACTGGTACACTTCTTAAATGAGCAGTGGTTGAATTAATGGGTTTTTTTTATTACTACTAATACAGCTGGACATAGGGTTTGTGTGGCAGCAACAGAGAGGAACTCTAATTGATTGTATATTTGTTCCCATTTTTTTTTTTAAAGTCTTGGACTAGCTCTGCAGCCTTGAACGAATTATTCCCATATCTGTAATATGGATTCAACAGTACAAGAGAGCTGACAATAGGTTTTGGTTAGGCAGAAAAGTTCAATAAGTGGTGAGAAACAGTATATGGGAGGCTAGGATTAAAAATGTTAATTTCCCCTCTACAATATCTCTAATATCTGGAATTCTGCAGTTCTACTGAAAAATGTCTTTGAAAAACCCGTTGTTTCCCATCAGAATAACCCCTGAAATGCAGAGTTTATTCAACAGGCTGTCTCTTAATGCTCACCTTTCACGCTCCTGCTCCAAGAGATTGGTAAAGTCATCGCTCTTATTCATGTAATCTGTATGTTTATGCTTCTCATTTTCCAGCTCGTAAACTGTGCGCCGATGGCATTTCTCTGCCAGGAGGAGCTGCTCGAGCATGCGCCGGTATGTGTCCTTCTGCTTCTCTTCCAGTCTGTCCAGCTGGTTGGGTGAAATATAAAATGGACTGTGTTAACTACATTGTTGGCTGACATTGGTACATCTGCTGAACAAGGATGTTGCATTACTGTAAACGTGGCATGGCCTCTTTCATTGCCTATAAGCAGTCACTAGTAATAAACACCACAGATTCCCATTAGCTTTGCCCACGACAGATCAAATGTAGAGGAGGACGACAGTTAAAATTGTAGACCATACCAAACTGCTTCAGCAATGAGCTACTGACATTTTGATTTTGATGAGAGCTTAGATTGAAGGAAGGGACTGATTATTCGGCTCACTATTTCAGATTTCATTGGAAGGAGAAAAGAAATTTCAGTGTGAAGGAAGGGAAGATTCTCAGTGAGGTTTAAAGGCTCACTCTTAAATCTCTTCAGAATTAAACTGTACAGAACAGTTTAAGAAGATTAGTTTTGATTGCCCTTTTATACTTCATGATCACTATAGCAATGTTCTCAATGACAGCTAACAGTTACTCCTCTCTTTTTAAAAAAAAAATGGGGGGAAAGTCTTCCTTTGGCATCTATGCCTAGCACAGAGACCCATTCTGTAATAATAGTCATCCATTATATAGAGTCAGCAAGTTAATCAGAAGTCTAGAAGTTTCTGTGGAATAACTAAATGGGATTTGGAACACAGGGTGATTCACACACCCCAAACCCCACAGTATCGCTGGGGCTTATGCTTTCAAGACCAACAGGCCACATTTGGCTCCTGGGCTTGGTGTTCTCCATCCCTGTTTGAGAGAAAACACAGTCAACTTCACAGGACTACATACAGATATCACAGTGGCTTGGTCACTGGTGTGTTGTGCTGCTGTGGAAATTTGCAAATGGTAACATACTGTTGCCCTTGGTTCCACATTCAGAACATGCATGTTTCCTCAGAGGTAATTCTCACAGTGTTCCCTTACTCAAAGGCATGTGTTTCTCCAATCACAGTCTCAAAGTCTGCTTTCTAGAATTTTAATTCTCGGAAACTTTGCAAACATGCAATGTGTTGAGCGCTAACACACTACCACTGTAGAGGATCAGATTAGGTATCTATGTACGCAAGTGTTGCCACTGCCACATGTTGTGCAAGAGATGAAAACAGAGACATGCAAGGTTGGGGGTGTGCCCATGCCTTCAGTCATGGTATTTTGTAAAGCAAATTGCAAATGCAAGTCAAAATGAAAAGGACATCCTGACTCAAGGTTCCTAAAGTAATTTGAAAGGTGCTTACCTCTGAAATTGGCTTCTCATATACATCTTCCCCTGTTGATTTCTCATGGGCAAGGGTAGCATCCCTGTGCAATATCCTGAGGACATTCTCTGGAGCTGAAGAGCCATAGTGTGCCTCCAGAATTTCAGGCTTTATTTTCTCTGTTTTCAGCATATGGATCACGTCTTCTCGAGCCTGCAAATTGGCAATATTATTAATATTACTACTACTATTATTTAATTACTAAAACAATGAAATAGCAGCATTCTCGACTGCTGACGTACTATGGGCTGTATCCAATGGTGTCCATGTGTAAGCTGGGCACTTTGGGGGCAGCTCTGAATTCCTCATCTGAGGCCCTGTGGGTGGTAGGCAGGCATCTGAGGGCCCTCTAGGAACCAAGGCAGCTGCTGTGGGGACCTCCAGTGGTGGGGCAGGGATGTCCAGTTCCAATAGGATCATTAGTGTGGGAAGGGTCCCACTCCTTTCATTCATTCATTTTATTTCAACAATTTGTATAAAGCTTAATGACAGCAGTCTCGAAGCAGTTTACACAGGAGAGCCCATACAATGAGCCACCTCCCATTCTTGCTCCTCATCTGAGAAGCCTGCAGACCCAAGGGCTGATCACTGATGCCAGCTTCAAGGCTTTGGAAAACGGGATTTAACATGTTTGTAGTGGCCATATCTACTGACTGCCATAATAGATGTATGAAACCTCCATTTTTGGGTGTAGTTTACCTCAGAAAACCAGAAGCTGGGAACAAGCAACAAGGAATGGCTATCACCATTTTGCCATGCTGTGGGGAAGAAGCTGTTAAACCCATGGCTTACTCATGAGTAGCCCTGTCAGCCAGGATTGGTTTCAGCTAAGTAAGGGTGTGGCTTGGACGATGTTTCAAGCTTCCAGACTCAGGCTGATGTCTTTTAAGCCTCAGAAGGCCCCAGAGAAAGAGGAAGCTTAGGGGAGATCAGCAACCAGTAGAGCTCACAAGGAACTGAAATCATATACTCCTTGTAGCTATTTATCCAGCTGCTGCATTCTGAACTAATTGTGCCTTCCAAACAGCTTTCAAGAGCAGCCCCACACTGAACACATGATAGTAGTCTAGTTGAAAGAACCTGGGCTTGCTGGGCTTCCAGAGAAGGTTTACTGATTGTTGTTAGAAAGAGAATGTTGGGTTAGATGGGCCTCTGGTCTGATCCAGGAAAGCAAATACTTCTGGGGCATTCATAGTCCCTAGCACGTTGTCTTCAAAGCTCTGGCATACCTGCTTTGCATAGGATGCTGCTGTAGTAATTATTTGGGTTAAAAGTACTGATTCGCAACACATCCAGAATTGTTTAACCATCAGCAATCTGAGCATTCCCTGGGTGGAAGCAACACCCCATTAGCTAGTTAATTTTAGGTTCAGTATAAGATGCTCATGAAGCATAAAGCATCATTGCCTCTTAGCCACCAACAACTTTGTTTCCTAGCTGATTGATGTGCCGTGTAAGATAATAATTGAACTCTGCTGTTAAAAGAGATCTGTTACTTCAATTATATAATGACCATTGCACATGGAAGGAGCTTAGCAATGCTAAAGACAAATAGCACCACTCATAAATAAAGTTCTTCATGAAATCTTTTGAGATTTATTGGATATTATTAACTTCCCAAGAAGGCTCTTCGAGCCTTTATGGTGCACAGCTTGGGGTACATGACTACAGGCACCATGAAACAGGGGATCAAAGTTTACTAAGTCCAGACTTTTTCTTCTGATTATGCTACACCCGTAACTGTCAAACTCTGGACATGAGCACTCTGTAGTCCTCATTCAGTTTATTAATAGTGTAACAGCTGCTGCGTACTAGGATCAGAAATAAGATAAGGTCATGGATCCCCAGTGCAGTGTTGTGGTCATACCAGTGGTACATTTTCTAAATTTTAAAGGACTCTGTGCACTGGGCCTGACAAAGAACATAAATAAAAACTCACAAGGTAGCCCATTAAAGAATTTCAGGTGCCTGTTCTCAGGCAGCTGCAAAAGTTATCTCTCACAGCCAAAAGAAAAGTTCTCTTCAGCTTCTGGCAATTTAGGATAGTACGGCATGTGTCTTTCAGACGTTCATCATCCTGGTTGACAACATATCTACATGCAATACAGGCCCGGCATCAGCATCCTGGGGCAGCTGCTAGGGCCTCTGGATTCCCCACAGGGTTGTCCACCACCACCCCACCACCACCAAAACCTGTCCTACACACTTCACAATGGGAAACTGGGACCATGAGTCTCCATTTTAATTTTTCACAATACACTAGAATGACAATATTTTGGGGATCCCAGGGCTTTGTGGGAAATTTAAGTGGCGGCTTCCACCTTTGGAGTGCTGCCGCCACCAAGAAAATCGGAGGAGCCCATCAACACAACAGAAGGCCCACTAGATTATGCTTTGCCCAGGCAAAGACCTGGGGTCTGCCAGAAGCAAATGCAGGCTGAGAAAAACATGCAAATGTTTCTTTTCTACAGTATGTGAGTTTCCACACACACTCACAAAGGCCGCTTTCCATCCTCCATCTAGTCATGAGGCATTATAAGGCCTCAAGGACATATTCCAGCCAGTCACAAACATTCTGGGTATGGAGCAAGGCCTGTGAGGGATGTGACCTGGGGAGAGTTTCAAGGGCCAGATGAAGAGGTCTCGAGGCTCACATTCAGCCCCTAGGCTCAAGGTTCTCCACTTGCATCTACAGTGGTACCTCAGGTTAAGTACTGTACTATAAATTTGGAAAGTGGTTTGCTTGTCTGTCCACCCACCTCTGGAGATGACAGTGCCAAGTTTGGCACCAAGGTTTCTGAGGTGGGGGTGGCAGACTTTGTCACTGTTTGGTTTCTGGGTGCCATTTTGAATCAAGATAGTGGACAAAAAAGTGACTTTGTCCATTTGGTGGGTGCCTCTCAAGATACTGTCACCAAACTCAGCATGAGGGTTCACGAGGTGCGGGGGGCATAGTCTTCATCAAAGTTTGGGTGCTGGGCACCATTTTTAATCAAGATGGAGGACCAAACTGAGTTGTGACTTTGCCCAGTTTTTGGTGTGACATATCCAAACTCACGAATTACACAATCCATTAAAAAAAAAAGTTTCTACAGATTCCCAGGCAGCACCAGGCACACCCCACTACTTAGATGTCTTTTTAAAAGATAAAATATACAGTTAAAACTTTTTCCCATGTATCAGCAACACAACAACATCCCTTATTCAGGAGAGACAAATGAATAGCCCAGTGAAGTACCAGTTATACCAATTCAATGAATGGACTAACTCTGTTACATAATAATGCTGTGCTGGCTTGCACACACCCTCAAGCAACTAATAAAGTCTGATGTCAAAGGCAGGATATTGGGCCAGACAGACCGCTGATCTAAACCAGTGAGCCTATTATATTATTCTCTCTCTCTCTCTCTCTCTCTCTCTCTCTCTCTCTCTGTGTGTGTGTGTGTGCACGCGCGCATGTGTATACAACTATATATATAAACTACACTTCCAATGGGGCTGGGGGCTTTGCCCGCAAATGTTCAGAAGACAAAATGAGGAGGCGAGAACTGCGGCGATGCAGCAGAGCCCCACTTTGTTACTTCTTACATCAGGCTTTGAAACAGATCAAATGCGCCATGGAAGACATCTGTCTGTTATTTCCTGCCATATAGCTTTTGGTTCGGCTTTATTGCCAGAGAGCTGCACAGATGATGTCACTTTTTCTGTGAAAAGAACCGGCCACCAGAGCCTTTTCACTGACATAATTCATTATCTGTAGTCTGGCCTGGGGACAGCAAATTCCCATGACCAGGAATTAACTATATACACTGCTTGATGTTGTCAGACTTTTAAAGGGCTGAAAGATATCATTTCTTGTTTTGTTGACACTGAAAGGGAGCCTTGTTCTGTATTATCGCACCAAAGGGGAAGGTTAGTCGCAAGCCCACGGTTCCGTGATCCTTGGCATTACAAGAAGCAAAATCAAAAGGTCACTGTAGATTATGTACACAGATCAAAGTGTGTTGCGATATGTCTTACATGCTTCAGGAATTAAGGCATCACAATGGACAAACCAGCTGACTCGTGGTTTGCCCTCACCGGTTATTATAAATGCTCTCATGGCCAAATTTAGCCATCTGCAGATATTGTGTCCATCAGGTTTATCAGTGGCTGGAGTTGCTGAGGAGAACCAGAGCAGTGTTATTCTCTTTTCCAGCGATTGCTGGAGGCTCTCATGAAGACAAAAGGACGCCCATGGGCATCTGTTGGTTGTGCTCAAGTCGAGTAACTGTGTTATGATGCTGAGTAAAGCCTGCAGCTATTTGACCAAGACCAAAGAAAGAAGAAGGAGGAAAGAAGAACAAGGCTCTGGGGCAATCCTCTAATCCCAGGGAACTGGCATTGTTAAAAGGGGGGGGGGAGAGAAACACTACACATTGAAAGCTTAATATATTGCCTGTTTCGTCCTTCAGATGATCCCGTGTCCTGCAGCAGTGCAGCTTCTTTGCCATCCCATTGGGTTGGGAGGAGGACACAATTCCCACAGTGAACATGGAAAACTGGGTGGGGGGACAACTACTGCAGCTGTGAAGTTCAGGAGGTGTGGATAGAGCAAGAATGGGGAAGATTCTGCAGCTTGAGGGCCACCTTCCCTTCTGAGCAACCTGACTTCCATGTATGAATCCCTTGAATTTCTGTTTTAATTGCTTCTATGTGTTGTCACACTGTTTCCTTGGATTTAAGCTGTACTGTGGTTTTAAAAGGCATTGTTTTTATATTGTACATAGAACTTACTATTTAGAAATTTTGAAATATTAAGTGGTTTGGAAATGCTTTAAACAAAATAAATTTGCAATGGGAGAAAAGCTCCCATTGGCACCAGGAGCTTTCCTCCCTTTGTGACCTGCAAGTGTGTGTGTGTTGATTCCAACCAGGACTGCAGCAGGCGCAAAGGGTTAAAGCCCCCCTCCTCCACACTCTGGTCGCGTTTCAGCTCAGGGCCCCTTGTGTTGGGATGGGGGAAAAATTCATTCATCTCTCACTGAAAGGTGAATCTCCCTAACTCATACTTCCCAAAACCATATGGGAACCATAATGCAGCCTTCCGTTCAAAATTTGCACATCTCTGAATTTTGCAATACATTTCTGCAGCCAAGTCACGTTCAAAAAAGCATGTACTGGGGGTAAAGTATGCATTTTTAAAAAATCACGTATTACTGAAAATAAGATACACATTTTTTGCAATGCATTTTTGTATTAGAGGAAACTGAATGCAAATGTGTTTATAAGGAGAAATTTGCACTAAAATGCTGGTGAATTTTCACAAAGATATTAAAATAAAAAGAGGTGGATAAAGGAACTTAAGACTGAGAAACTGAGAGAAACTGAAATTGACAGAGTCACCATCCCTGCTTACATTTTTGCTAATCAAAAATCACAGACATGCATTGTCAAATTGATCACATCTAGCATAGTCAGGTCTAGCTTTGCCGTTAGATTAAGAATCAAATTTCTCACAGAGAGGTGTGGAGCCTGGGAACTGTGAGTTCTGCTCTGCTCATGGAAAGAGGCTTTCCTGCAGCCTCATCCCCTCCCCGCCACCCGAAAAAGAAGCTTCTCTTGAGAGTTAGGCCCATACTCCAGAATAGCATTTGATGTGGCCTGGGGGCTGCAGCTGTGTGGAGGAAACGGCAGAAATCCAAGACCACCACCCCTTTGCGCAAGTGAAAGCGCCATCCACTCTCTCAAATGCTTCCTTGGATCCAAGCCAGTGTTACCTAAATGAATCACTGAATAAACACACACAGGAGACAGGAAAAAAGGCAAGCTTTGGGTGGTCCATGTCTTTCTTGGATACAGATACCAGAGTAGAAGACACAAATAGTGTACAAGTACCAAGAGGTCATACTGAGTTGCAAAAAAGTAGTAACCAGAAAAGGATTGGGCCTGTTGTATTTTGAAACATAGAATTGTAGAGTTGGAAGAGACCATGAGGGTCATGTAGCCCGACCCCCTGCAACACAGAACTCTTTTGCCCAACGTGGGGCTCAAACCCATGAAACTGAGATTAAGAGTCTCATGCTCTACCAACTGAGTTATTCCACTGTTTATATGTGCAAGGAGCGTTCACAAGTCATAGCGCAGAGAAGCCCACTTCAAGGTACTTGTATTGGTTTAATAAGGCCCAGCTCCCCATAAAACTGGCTGTGCTTTCTTGGCTCTACAACCTCTGGCTGTGGCTTGCTGCTCGCAATATGGTGTCATGTGAGGGAGCCTTCCCAGTGGGGGAGCCTTCCCCTTTGTAAAATCTCTCCCCTCCACACCATCCAGCCCTAGTTTCATCTACAGCAGGAATGGCAAATTGTGGTCCTCCAGATGTTGTTAATTTACAGGTCCCATTATTCCGGATTATTGCCCATGCTGGTTGGGGCTGACAGGAATTGGGAGTTCAAGAACATCCAGAGGCTTACAGGTTTCCTATGCCTGAGCTATTGTAAAGTCCTGACTAATCACTTAAGAAGAGCAGCACAAGTGTCTATTTTGCAGCAAACAGATGGATCAATAAAATGGGTTTTGGACTTAAGTTAGTTCCCGCATAATTTTGGTGGCAGTCTCATAACTAAGAATGCAAATTGCCCCTCATTCTTTATTGTCACATACTGTATTTAATTTGCAAAGTTATTTGCAAAGTGTTGATATCTGATGCCCAACGACACACTTTTTTGATATTTTGGCAAGAATCTAATGGCATTTTTTAAGATGTCAGTTGTTCAGGCACCTGGTATTATTTTATTTTTTTTAAAAGAAGGTCAAGTTAAATGCCTACTGAGCAAAAGACAGGAACAGCAATACTTTGATGTGCAGCACTTGTTCCATTTGAGCTGGCCAACAGGTGGAGCCTTTAAACCAGATACACACAAAACTAGAAAGGCAAACCCTTTTGAAGTTGGCTGTTTTGCATTTGTTCTCATTAAGAAGGCATATATTTTGCAAAAGCCGTGTGGCCTGCACCTGAAAAGAAGACCAAGAGATCCCAGTCTATTGATAATCTATTGATATCTATTGATAATCTAGGCAATGCAAGAACACAGAGGTATGTGATGAATGGCATTATTGTGTCAGACTTCCTTTATTCTGAGCTCACACAGACACGTGTTCCCTCACACAGCAAAGGAAGCAGAGGTCTCCACTATGGCATAGCGATTATACCGTAGGAAAGGGCCATAGGCCAATGGAATAGTGTTAAATCACTGGCATTACCAGGTAGGGCTGCAAGAAACCACCACAGAACTTTGAAGGGGCCTGGCCCCTTCATTTAAAATATTTGGGGGGTTGCCCCCACCCTCCTACTAGGCACCCCTGATTATGACTAAATCAGTCACATTGTGTGCATTGCCCAGCAAGTGCTTCTGTTGTGACATGATGGCTGTTTAATGCAAAACTATCCTTCCATTTGTAGCTGCTAGCAAAGAAAAATCCCTGCTGTCGATTAGCCTGGTTTCATTTGTTTTGGAAGGGGAATGAGGTAGCTAGTTCAACCAGATGCTGCTGGACTACTATTGGCTGTGCTGGCTGGGGCTGATGGGAATTGGAGCCCTATGATATCTGAAGAGGTATCTGGGTGGCGCTAGTGTTGTTAACAGGAGGTTCCTCTCCTATCTCCTGCCTCGTGTGTTTGAAAGGTCCTTTCCTTGTCTATTTTGGTCAGGTGGTGCTTCTTCCTGCCTCCTACCTCCCCTCACCCAGTCTGTCAAGCATTTCAGTGGATTTTTCAACCACGTCATAAAAATCCAGCTGCCTTCTTCCACAACAGGATAAACTCTGATAGCAAAGCTAGCCCCTCCCTGTTTCATCACCGCAAAATATATAAAGATTTGTTTGCAGATGCCTGGCATTAGTGTAACACTAAAAACAGCTGCAGGGCTAGTCAGCCGTTGGCTCTTCGTATAGGAAGACCCAGAGAGAGAAGACTATGGTTAAAGCTCCATGATTCAAAACACCGAGCAAGGAGTTGACTGCATACAACAAAGGAAAAGAAAAGCATATATAACATGCTACAATGTACAGTGGTACCTTGGGTTACAAACACTTTGGGTTATAAACACTTCGGGTTACAGACTCCGCTAACCTGGAAGTAGTACCTTGGGTTAAGAACTTTACCTCAGGATGAGAACAGAAATTGCTTGCCGGCAGTGCAGCGGCAGCAGGAGGCCCCATTAGCTCAACTGGTACCTCAGGTTAAGAATGGTTTCAGGTTAAGAACGGACCTCCGGAACGAATTAAGTTTGTAACCCAAGATACCACTGTATTAGGTCACTGTAATAGTTGGGCAGTCCTGCCAGACTCTCCACCTTTAGCTTATTATCATCTGGGCCACTCTATCCATTGATTTGACACCATGGAGTCATCAAGGGGGGGGGGAAGGAAGGTTTGGGGGGCAATAGTTTCTTTAAAACAGACACACAACCACCCTGTGGATCATTCAGTCTATTCATTTCAATAGCTTCAACAAATGCTGGTATAATAGGTGCTGAGTTTCAGTACTGCTTTTGTTGGGCGGAGAAGTATTATATGTTTCTGTGTGTTTTCTGGCAAAAGGCTTCCCTGTTCTGTTTGTGTGATGCTGTCTTGTACAATGGGATTTTTTTCTTTCTTTCCTAATTAGTGATTTTTGGATGCTGTTATGAGACAGATGGAGTCATACAGACTTAGATGCTGACTAACTGGGCTCTCATTTCCTTTACAGAGATCACAGGGATGTAGTTTGGCCTTCAATCTTTCTTGACCTCAGAGAGGAGACTCAGCTTCTCCTTTCTTCCAAGTCAACTGGGACTTTATGCCTTTGAAGGAGAGTCCAAGTGTTCTCCCTAAGATCATTCATTCATTCATTATTAATTTTTTATAAGGCCTTCCTCCCAAAGGAGCCCAGGCATATGTCTTCAAAATGGTTGGATTATACGGCACATGTTCACAGGAACTCTGCATTATATATGTCAAGGCACAAATGTCTTCTATAGCACAGAAGCAAAAAATATTTCAAAAAAATAGAGGGGCAGAGAATTTCTGATATACCTGCAGTTCTCCTTCCATTATACTAAGGAGACGAATCAGGTCCTCTTTAGACAGATCTATTGATTTCTTGCTTTTCCGCTCACTAGGACCTGGCAGTCTGCTGTGTTGCTTGACGTTGCTTGAGCCTGAGCCTTCATCTTCTTTCCGGTTAGATTTGTTCTTTTTCTTTGCATCTTCCGGAAGGTTTTGGTTTTCTGTGTTGCTTATAATGGTCTTTGACTTGGAGAAATGCCCATTAGATGAGCTTTCTCCACCTTGATTTCGGGATCTCATCCTGACCTGGATAAAACAAAACCAAAAATAAAATAAAATTGAAAGCTAGGGTTTTTAGTTTTATTTGAAAATTTGAAAACATGTGGGAAAATATTTGTTTATTTTTACGCCATCTGCACAGGAACTTCCAAACCAGTAACAATGTATTAATCTTTTTTTTTAAAGTAAGATACTTTCATAATAATTATAAACAACACCTTTTTCGATGAAATTTGGCAGAAAATACTTTGGTATCTCATTTAAGCATCCAGGCAGGTTCACTGCAGTTGTCAGTCAGCCATACACAATAAAACAGAACTTTGGCAAACTTTATGAGAGGCAACCATTTTAAAAGTGAAGGAGGAAGATGGCAAAACTATTGCTGCAGTCCTAAGTCTACTCAGATGTAAGCCACATTAAGTTTGGTGTAACTTCCTCCCAGGTAAGTTGGTACCAGATTGCAGCCTCCAATAACAGGGCCATATTCAGTTTTGGCAACAATTGGTAAATGCTTAGCTCTTCAACAAGTTCCTCAGTCACTAAAAGGACTTGGCAAGACCATACAAAACTGTAACTTCCCCCCAAGTTTCTCACAGCAGAATATTTAGTATTTTTGTCCATTCAAATATTTTCAGTTTCTGGCTTTCATTCTCACATGCAACATTTGTCACAATTTCATACTTCTCTCCTTCCCTCCCTTCATAGTTTCCATTTTCCTATGTAGCTTTCCTGCCCTCAGAAAAGGCTTTCATCCACCTAAACATTACCAGTTTCTCTCCAACTGCACCTCTCAGCCTCTCCTAAACTATTGTAAGATGTAGAAGCTCCTCTCTTGAACTAATCAGCAAAGACCATTATCCTCTGTGGCTTAAAATCTCACCATGTTATCCTCTTCTGTCTCTGTTCTTGCAACGTTTTTCGCAAGGGAAAAAAAACCCCTCTGTCTGTAATATTAATTAGGCACTTAATCTAATTACAGTGATTATGAAGACCAAAAACATGCAAATGCATAGTGAAAATAATATTATTTTGATCTTTTCTTAATAACCTCTTCCTCTGAATTTAATGTTCAGTTTGATGCTTGCAATCTTATCTGACTTGTCAACCATACACAGGACAACATGGTTTGGTGCAACTGACCATCTAGTCTCCATGAGGAATTTAATAAGGCCAGATTAATAGTGACATTGTAAATCCTAAGGCACTTTAACAAATCTGTTTGGGGGAAACTACAGAGCAGAGATGTGATGTATGGAAGTGAGAGCTGGACCATAAAGAAGGCTGATCGCCGAAGAATTGATGCTTTTGAATTATGGTGCTGGAGGAGACTCTTGAGAATCCCATGGACTGCAAGAAGATCAGACTTATCCATTCTGAAGGAAATCAGCCCTGAGTGCTCACTGGAAGGACAGATCGTGAAGCTGAGGCTCCAATACTTTGGCCACCTCATGAGAAGAGAAGACTCCCTGGAAAAGACCCTGATGTTGGGAAAGATTGAGGGCACAAGGAGAAGGGGATGACAGAGGACAAGATGGTTGGACAGTGTTCTTGAAGCTACAAACATGAGTCTGACCAAACTGCGGGAGGCAGTGGAAGACAGGAGTGCCTGGCGCGCTCTGGTCCATGGGGTCATGAAGAGTCGGACACGACTAAACGACTAAACAACAACAGAGCAGAGAAGGGCTTGCAGTTAGCCAGTGCTATGCTTGTCTCCTAAACATAGGTCTTATTACTTCTCAAATTTCCATCATTATCACAGTGCTGTAGTTTCAATGAATTCAGTAAGCTTTCCCCAGTAGAAGTAGCTGTGAGCCACAGAAAACCACTCTTTCTCCATCCTGAGCCTCACATCTGCAATACAAGGCTAATGCTGTTGTCTTTCCTAACAGAGCTGTTTGAATAAGGATTACGGATATAAAGCATGTGCGTAGCACTTTGAGCTCTCAGTATGTGCCATGCAACTGTGAAGCATTATTGCTGGAAGGGCGTTAACTCAGTGGCAGAACAGATGCTTTGCATGCAGAAGGTTCTGGATCAATCCCCACCCTGCATCTTCAGAGGCAGCTAAAAAAGACCTCACCTGAAACTAGTTTGTGGCCATTTATTATACACAATACTGAGATAGCCTGCATGGACCAAGGTCTAACTTGCGATAAGGCAGCTTACCATGTACTATTGTAGTTTCCAATACCCTGGTTCCTTCTCCATTGCCATCCTTAAGCTCTGTAGCTGCTTCACCATGTTATTTGCCCCAGTTGAAGGAGAAAAATCAAGCACAGAGTTCTTCTTTGTAGCCTTATTTCCATTAGGGAAATGATCATATGAAGGTTTATGGGTTCAGACTAAGTTGGTCCCACTGAAATCCAACCCACTGGCTCCTAGGCTCTTGAATACCTAAGCAGAATATCCTCACTCAACCAGTGGCATTTTTCTCTCTTAGAAGATCTGTGCCCCCACTCTAAAAATAAATATCTATTATGAACGTGAACAATACCTGTGGGGTTTAGGAAACACTTGGTGTCTCAGGGTTGTGGTGGAAAAATAAACATTGGCCAATGTTTCCTTTCAGGCCAATTCAATTTGCTACTGAACTGTAATGGGTCATGAGCATTTCAGTCTACTTCCTTTTCAGGAAAAAGTACTTGGCTCTCATGGTGACTCAGATGTTTTGTGGGATCTCACTCCACCCCATCAGTAAGTGACATGAACATCACATAATAACCTATTTGGAGATTTCACATAGTTTAAGGGTGGGTCGGCCAATTACTTAATGATTGTAGAACATGCTTTTTATTGATGAGCAGTACATCTTTATTGGTGAGCAGTTAATAATAATAATAATAAATTTTATTTATATCCCGCCCTCCCCAGCCAAAGCTGGGCTCAGGGCGGCTAACAACAATCAAAATAGTCCAACATTCTAAAAACATTCATTATAAAATTAATTAAATCAAATTAAAATCACACTAATGGCAACCATCAAGCAAAATTCTGTGCAGATTGCCAGAGGAGGGGGTCAGGCTGCGCCCTGACCAAAGGCCTGGTGGAACAGCTCTGTTTTGCAGGCCCTGCGGAAGGATGTCAGGTCCTGCAGGGCCCTAGTCTCTTGTGACAGAGTGTTCCACCAGATTGGAGCCGCGGCCGAGAAAGCCCTGGCTCTAGTTGAGGCCAGCCTAACCTCTCTGTGGCCTGGGATCTTTAGGATGTTTTTATTTGCAGACCGTAGATTTCTCTGTGGGACATACCAGGAGAGGCGGTCCCGTAGGTACGAGGGTCCTAGGCCGTATAGGGCTTTAAAGGTTAAAACCAGCACCTTAAACCTGATCCTGTACTCCACCGGGAGCCAGTGCAGCTGGTATAGTACCGGATGGATATGATCTCGCAGCGAAGACCCCATAAGGAGTCTCGCCGCGGCATTCTGCACCCGTTGGAGTTTCTGGGTCAGTCTCAAGGGCAGGCTTGGGGGAAGGCTGAGCAGGATCTCCTAGTACAAAGATTGCCAACTTGCTGGGGCCTGATGGCACATTTGCAAACAGGAGAAATTGTTATGGGCACCACACGCTCCCAACATGACCAATAGCTCTATTCCGTTGACTACAACAGAATGAATGCTCTAACACAAAAAAAGCTTGGGGATAAAACCAGGAGTGGGTTTATGTAAGGAATGTCTCTGAGCTTCACTTTGTAACTGGGCCCAATTCCTGAACTGAGCATGTGCTGAGAGGCAGCCTGTCTCTTAATCCTACGAGGAGGTCGACCCTCCAGAGCCACTAGAGTACACCTGGCTCTGAACAGTGGTATTTGGGGTGTAATGGGAGAACACTTGACCTGACTTTTCTCTGGTTTGCACATACACAGGCAAATACTTTTGCACTTCCATGCATGCTATTTCACATGCATATCATAATCAAAAGCTTCAAGAGCCTCTCCAAGCACAGGAGATTGCACCTTGCGATCTTCCTCTGTTTTCTAGGAATTTCATAATTCCACTGCTTTATTTATATTGGAGATTAGCATCTCTGATTTCTTTAGGCTGGGAGTATAAATGTGTTAAGTTGTGAGTTTAAATGCACCTGTGATTTTATGTTTATACTGCACCATATTAGCCAACATATGACTTATTATTCTTTTTGTTTTGTTTTGTTTTGTTGTAAATGGATGCTTTCTTGGTTGTCCCAAATAAACCATCGGTGTGATGTTAACAACCTGTTTAGGCACACAATAGGATGATGCTTGACTGCTTCTCTGGGAAAGTTTTCACCTCTCATAATCATGTTTTAGAGTCATGTGTTAAGTACACACACTCTCCTAAATACATGTGCCACAGGGTTTGTAGTAGAAAAGCAAAGTAGATCCTACAAGCCTGAAATCTTCCCATCTCTGTTCCACATTATTTAATTGAGAGTTCAAAAATTATGGTAGATTGTGCTAACTTGGTAACAAAAGATGAGAGGGAAAACAACATAGCAAACTTGCTATTTTAGATATTTGCATACGAGTGAAATGAAAGAAGTATGAGAAATAAACAAATGGAATTTGCTGGTTTGGCACTCAGAATGGATTTTTGACTTGTACTGCTTCAAATTCTTCACCCCCCCCCCACAAGGAAATCTGTGCAGAATTCCAGTAAAGTGGAACCAGGAGAGATTAGATGCAAAAAGGGGGCGAGGGGAAATATTACAAGAACACTGATTTCATGGTGTTCCAAGCATGAAAACAGAACAGGACAAACACAACCTAGTTTCTTCAATGATGTGGCTAATAAAAGTTGTTCCAGAACAAAACATATACCCAACCAGCATTATTAACAGTAAGCAGTTCGCACTTTTTTTTTAAGCAGCCAAATAACTACATTGCTTTAAAGCATCTCATTTGGTAAATGCTGCAAATTCATGACTAAATGAGCCTGGCAATAATAATTTTACCACCACCACACTACCTCAGCATCCTTTTGCATGCCTTTTGCATACAGTATGCACAAACCACCAAAAGCCACTCTCATATGTAAAATTGGATATATATCGTAC